ACTTTATATGGATGGATATAATATTAATGGATTATGTTCCTAAAACATAAGCCATCATTTTAGAAAACACGAGAAGGATACGGGGATAAAAAGCAGGAGAAAAAAGAAAAGAAAGTACACAAGAGTGCAAAGCTATGGCATTTTATTGAAGAGTGCAAAGATTCCAAAACAAAATATAAAATTATACACATGACTTTCAAACAATCAAGATTTTTGAGGTTGGCATTGCCAAGTTAATCTTGCTACCGCCTGCTGAATCCTTCCACTGCTGAGTTATTGTTTTGATCTGTGTAAAAAAGTTCACCCCTGCCTTTCCTGCAATTCAACAAAGCATAATATCAAGTTCAAATCAAACAATATGCCTATATTATAAGAAAAATGTAACTATTGAACAATGTAAGTGAAATGATTGAATAAGAGCCAGATTTTGTATAAATCACTCTACCATAGAAATTGAGATCGCCAGCAAATGAAGCCTTGTTGCCAGTAAATGAGAAAAATAGTAAAGGAACTAGAATAGGAACGTTGACACCAACCTGGTCCAAGACTCATGTTAAAATTCAATGTTATTGGTTAACAAATAACACCTCTTAATGCATATACTGGTTGGAATTTACAAGCATTATTATTTTTTATAGTGCTTCCAAGAAGTAATAAATTTTACCTGCCTGACCTCAATCTCGGTCTGAAATTTCCTTGCAGCAACACCATAAGTAGTAAATATAGATGCACCATTTCCATACCTTTTAGAAATATTAGAGTAATAAGAAGTAAATAAACAGAAGTTTAACAAAAGGCAATGACAATAGTCGCATGTTGAATAAGTACTTGTTTTTGTTAATAATGTTTATGGCCTCTTCCAAGCTATCAGCCTGAATATTAAACAAAACAGTAAAATAATGTGATCAGGAAGAATGATGTAATATTCTTGTGATTCTATGTTAGGAAGAATGATTTGCACTGAACATATTACCACATGCTTGAACACTTGTTTTAGCTGAGAATAACATGCAACCCTCAAGGAAATAAATCCTGAATATCCATAATAATCATCAATGACACCAGCTACAGTTGTGTCATTTCCAACTCCAGCACATTGAATAACCAGAGGTTGGTCACTATAATGTAAGAACAACAATTATCAATTCGTCAAAATTCAACCCAATTTGTTGACTTTGTATGAGCAGCAGCTGAAAGGGCTTGGTCATTGTCAGCTTTCCTTGAGGGTAATAGGAATACTTATCCAAAATCCATTAGTCACGCCTCAGCAGCTCTCAATGGAGCTCTAGCTGCATCAATATGACCAACACATCCATAGAATATTCCATTTGTACATTCACCTGAAAAATAGAGTTAATCAATTATAGCTTAAATCAACAATGATATGAAAAGAAGGTCCACAAGAAATCTGCCATATGAAATAGAATCATCAGCAGCAATGATGCAATCTCCGCTCACAACCTCAACCACCTATACTATAATAAGATGTAGCAGAAAAATATAATTACAAAAAATGAATCATAAAATAAATATGACTCGAATGATTTAGTGCTTCAGTTTACAACTAATGCAAAGAGAAATAATTATTGGCAGCATACCACTCCTTGAACATCTAAGATTGTGGTGCTTGAATCCATGTGCCTCTTGGCAGCAATAGTGCATCTAGGAAACTTTATTAGAAAAGATTTCTAAAACTATTGCACTTGGTACCCGTGATTTAAGACATTAGTTGTTTTAGAAACCGATCAAGAACATATGAGGTCGTACCTGAAGGCTTATAAGGCAAAAGACGACGATTCCAAGTGCTCTATGAGTTGAGTAGGTAATACTGGGCAAGCCACTGCCTAGTTTTAGAGCAGTACCCCATCCAGCAACACTGACTATGTAAGCAGCTGTTTGACAGGTAACATGAAGAGGGTCTGTAGATTTGAACACCTTCAAATAAATTGCAATCATAGCTCCTAAGGGCATCAAGATTCCCCATCTCACTGCATTTAGTATTCCATGGGTCTGAAACAAATTACAAAATAAGTTATATCTGATATTAAGGCAGAGCTACAATCCATAACATAGCAATAAAAAATCAAGATTTCATCCATTTACAATGTGGATTAGGGAACAAAAACCTTCCTTTACCCAATAACAATAATAATTCAGACCACATCCTGACAAATGGTTAAGATCACCAACTGCATCACAAAAAACCGAATAATTTCAGAAACCATATTGAATAAAGTTGTATGAAATGAAATTTCTTAAAGCTTGGGGTTGTGAGCTTGAGGGTACGTAAGAAAAACCAACATTCATCTGGGTTTACCAATATCGATTAGCATGTGACATATTCCTCATAGCATGCAAAAATGTAATAAAAGTATCATCACAAACTTACCTTGCATTTTGGTATGTTCAGCATGTAGGTTCCACCATACACAACACTTAAACGCGCAAATGCCTTCAAGTAATCAAAGGTATTGAATTTAATTTTGTAAGTACATTAAACATAAAAGGGAAAATAGATATGGAAAACCTGAGGCAAGTCTCTAAGTCCATATAGAATGAACATGAACCATGATGAAAACGAATTTGGTAGAATATACCTAACAACAACAAAAAAGTCTTCATGAAGATTAAGAAAGGGATGAAGCATAAGCTTTGCAAACGAAACCTGAAAAATCAATTTTGAAGATAAAAAATCTAATAAAAGTGATGAAAGGGTAAGACAAAAGGCATTAGAAGTCATAAGCTTTGGACAGAAAATCTCTTGATGCAGTTCACGTCGAAATAATCAAAAGCACCCATCACGCCACAGTTATGGGTGTATTAAACAGCTTGAGTTGCCTTATTCTATAACATGTATGTATTAAAACAACCAGCACGAAATATATTATATCATTTTCAACTTATAGTAAAAAAAAACTACTTTCCAAGCATCCTGACACAAAAAACATGAATATTACTAATTTTAACAACAGGAAACATATATCACAAATATTACACATAAGAATGACATGACTTAATCTTAATCAAATTATATAATTACTTGTTGGAAGTATACACCAAAACCAGCATACCTTGATTTTTAGAGCAGCAGTTGTGTCCCTCAGTTTGAGGGTGAGCCACAAAGTTTAAAAATATGATTCGACTGCTCAACCTACAAGGAAGTAAAATAAATCTTATATACCTCATACATTCATCAACATACCTGAAAAATTGAATCATAACCAACGTAATAACATAATGAATGATCATGTAACATTTCAAGCACACTAAATATGTTTTCAGAAACCAAAATTAGGCTTGTCCATCCTCTTGAAAACCATCCTTCCAAATGTACCCTAAGAGTATATAACCTATCGAACAGAAGAAAAATGAAGAAAAAAAATGCCCCAAATTCAAAGTGCATTATACCCGTATAATTTTAGTATATCAGCACCAAACTGTTTCCTCCATTGTAGCATGTCAGCCCACATATGCTTTGCTTTTTCAATATCAAATTTCCTTGCTTTCAAAAATAAATATCAACAACAAAATCCAGTAAACAAAAATCCAGTGCAAAGATTTTTTGACGGTACCTTGAGATGAGTGAATATTACTTTGTTCATAGTAACCAGAAACTCTTTGCTTGAAACCGAAACCAGGATCCACAAGTAGATCTCAATCTTCTTCTTTGATTGAAATCAGACAAGAGAGAAGAAAGTATTTTTAGGTCTGAAATGTGAGAGGGGAGAATAGATCTTCATCTTCTTCTTGGTTTGAATCTCAGACCACAACCCACGCCCAAATCTCCGTCTTTTTCAGTTGGAGTTGAAATCGGAACCATGATCCATAAGCATATCACCACCTTCTTATTTGCATTATGTGATTTTAAGAAGAAATATTGAGAAGAAGAAAAAAATAGAGAAAATGGAGAAAGAGATAGAGAGAGGATACGAGAAAGAGAGAGAATTCTGATGGAGGAGAAAGAGGGTACGAGAAGGGGGAGAAGGTGAGAGAAAGAGGAAAGAAGAGGGTATGAGATGAGAGAGAAGCTGAGAGTAAAAGGGAAGACAAGAGTGAGAGGGAAATGGTAAGAGTTTTTTGAAAAACTTCTGCCGCTTGGCAATATGGGGTCTTCTGATTGGATAATGAATTATGATTTAGTCAATTACATAAAAGGGCTTTAGATAGTGTAAATGAAAATTTAGTGAAAGGGTATAAATGGTAGATTGTTGACAATGAATGTAATGGGTAGGTAGTTGAAGACTTATTGTTGTTGCAAGAGTGAAATAAAAAGAAATAAAGAGCACTCATATAACCAAGACAAAATCTTGATAGTTATGATCAATGAAGAAGCAGAAGACTAATGCATTAGGCTTTCTTATGTTTTTCCGTCTTTGTGTTGGTTAGTTCCAGTTTAAATGTGATAAAACAACAATGATCTCTATTTAATCAAAATTTAGCTATGATAAATTTGTTATGAATCTCTATTTAGCCACAAATTAACGGTGAAAGGTTTAAAGATCTATTCTCTAACCTATCTTACATGTCCTTAGAGACGATGCTGCTAATGCATGCTACAAATAGTCAATACAACTAAACTCAAATTAAACGTCTTTCCTTAACATCAAAGTACAATGCGGTAGACAAATAATGAATATATTTGCAGGAAAAATTGAAATTAAATGGAGATTTCAGTTTCTGCAAAGCTGTATAATAAAGCTACCTTGTACTGAAAATGCATGGAATCAAAGCTGGAGTGATAATTATCTTCAACACATTACTTTCTATTTATTCTTCACAAACATACACAAAGCTTCCTATGAAAGCTCTTAAAATACATTTCAGAGTTTGCATAAGATACCTGATGTACAAATCATAGAACTATTTTTTGTATAAGATTTGACTTTAGAAATATATAAGAAATATCAAATGAAGAAACTTATTAATATCTAGTATAGTGACTTCGAATTTGAGAAGTTGGAATAGCTAGCATTGTTGCTCCTTCACCTGTCCAGATTATGCTATAAATTCCAAGTGCCAAAACTTGTCATGAGTTCTTCGTTTCCGATCTCCGCATCCGTGAACGTAAGTGCTTTCTGTAGCTTCCTGGGATTGAAAACCTCAACCTCAGCAATATATGTGGCAGTCACAGGTCTATGGTCTGAAAGTTTAAGTTCTTTCCTTTTGTAACTCAGTAATCTCATTCCATTTCCATATGACAGAATACGATCGCACCTGAAAAGTAATCACAGATATTAAAAAGAAAGACATTTTGATATACATGTTTGGATAAACAACTTAATTAAGAGCTTATAGCCAGATAGACATTGGCGAAGAATCTCAAATCAAACAAATTAAAGTTTACCATGCTGGTGTACGCCTCCCAACTTTCGGCTCCTCCCCGATGTACTTGTCTGAGTTAACCTCGTACTTATAGGTTGGAGGGAAGTTTAACGTTCCTTCTGACCATCCATCAAATACACCTTTTTCTAGTTCTTTCGCAAGCTGTTATAATAAGACGGCGATGTCAATATATAATATACATTTCTCGTATGCAGAACACAATTCATCTAATGAAAGGTTGTATATTAGTATTACCTGGTCTTTCTCGGCCAATTTCGACCACTGCTTTTTCGAGATAAGATCTCTTGTTTTTTCATATGACAAGTTGATTCGGTAATTCAGATCGCCAAACCAAATTATTCTTCTGCAAATAATATAGATATAGAGTTTCAGCAGCCAAGCAAAAGCAGAATGTGAAAGGACACAACAATGTCAAACATGGACTCACTCGTGATCGAAGATACTTTTGGGAAGTCCGATATCAGAAAGTGAATAAAAATGTGTCCTATGATGTATTTCACGAACATCGGCATTTCTTTTGATTTCATCTGCTTCCTTTTGCCCTGATGTAAGGTGGGTGCATACAAAGCAGAAAAGTGTCTGATATATAGACATGCTCACTGATACTGATCCCTGAAAAATATCGAAAAAAATAGTTTAACTTTATAATCATCCGATTTTACATTTCTCGTGTATGTTTAGCAACTGATCAGAAAGATAAAGGAAAATTTCAAAGACCTTGTTGCCAATATAGCCCATAACACCAACACCAACAGTGGAAACCTTCAAATTCTGAATATGTTTCCGCACACTCCTTCGAACCCAAATGGTGATGTAAATCCCAACCATCTGCTTGCTTACTATCTTCACATACGACGATCTGGTTTTCCTCTTCATCAAAGCTTCAAGATCAATTTCAGCCAATAAATCCATGGCATCTGTTTTCGATTTAAAAGAATCAGTGGCTCTAAATGACTTTGTCGCGTTAAGCGATTTAACTGGTTTTAAAGAAGTTGCTCTCTTCAATACACTATGAGATAGCAAATGTAATGGTGGCTCGGGCCAACTCAATCCAATCCTTTCAGTCCCACTAACCATTCTAGATAATTTACTAATCTGTGGAGAAGACGGTGTTTCAACGATTGCTGATAAATCCTCGTCACGTAAACAGTTTAGCCTATCCAACCTCCTTTGATAAGATAACTGACTCTCTAAATCATTATCAACTATTACTCGCGAGTTAGCAATATCAGCAGCATTTGAATCCTTCAAACTAGCATTCAACGACTCATGTGCGATTGGTTTATCGGTGACTCCATTGAATACTTCATATCCTTCATCCAAAGGATGGATTTCCTCACCAATATCACCATCACTTTCTAGTAGCATTTCTTCTTCTTCAATATCTGGAGCATCATCGGATGGTTTAAACTTCGACGGTGATGGAGGGTCACTGAAGGATTTTACCTTTGATGGTTTTGGTTGAACTCTATTCAATGTTTCTTTAATAATGTTTTCCCATTTCGGTACATGACGAGTATCTACAGCACCGAAAATGTTACTTGTATTTAAAGGTACAATCTCTTGAAGACTGCAATTGCAAAGTGCAAAGAAACTTTTTAGTCAAACAAATTGAACAATATGATATTGTCAGTGCAAAAGGTTTTACATTATCAACAAAGCAGAATCGACCATATGTGCGACTTTAGGAGAAAATTAAACGCGAAACTTACCCAAGGACATATATATCAGCTGGATGGTCAACGTCTAGCCAATCATCAATATCAAGGTCATTAGGTGGAAGTTTTCCTCCAACATTCCATGTCCCAACACATACCCTAAAAGAGAAAAAAATTGTACAACAGAATCGAAATATGAGAGGCTTTCAAGCAATAACTGAGTAAGCTATTTTTTCTACACTATCGAATCATTGCAAGTAGAGACTGCTATTGCTTGTTGAATAAACACGAGAGTGAGAACGGTGTCTAACCTTAATTCCTTCCTGTTTATATACTGAGACCTTACCGTCAACGACTTTTGCCTTCTTAAGCCAGGGAGAAACTCTGCAGTTTATTTGAAATTTAGAGGGTGCATGTGATTATATAAATCAATCAAGAAAAGTGTAGTAAATTTTCGCAATTCGAAGAATAGAAGTAAAATTAGAAACAACTACTATTACAACTGAATTGAGGTCCATGAAACTGCAGCATAAAACACCCAATTCAGATGGAGTTATCATTCGATAAACTAAATTTCATAAATGAAAGAAAACAAATTACCACATGACTCAGATGGAGTTTCATCTTCTCTGCTGTCCCGATACCGCGAGCCACTTCTCCATTCTGCATAATACACCCAATTCAAACTGAGACATATAACAGAAAAACCAAACTGAACAGGAATAATCATTCATCACACAAGACTCCGTCTCTAAGATCCCGAAACAATAACAATTCTCAATTAGACACAAACCAAAATTGTCAATTCTGAATTCTAATAAAACCAATTCTACACCTCCAGAATCAAGTCTGCTTGCTCCAAACGTGAAACCAATCATACACAAAATTTGTTGCATGATTAGAAAAATGAATCAATAGACTAACCTTCATTGTCTGAGTCAGTTTCAGGGTCGTCCTCATTATCATCGGAGTCAGCAACAGAATCAGATTTCTTGCTTCTAATGTTAAGCCATTTGCGCAACACCATAGTTGCCCATAAATTCTACAAACAACAACAATTCAGCTCAATTTCACTTCAATTAACCGTACTTCAGTTTCCAAATACTCACAAACACCAAATTGCACAAGAATATTGAAATAAACCATGCAAGAATCAAGATAAAAAGAATCAGCACCTGTTTTTGCTTGTTGGCTGAGTGCTGCTGCTGCTGCTGCTTCATCACTGACAAACTATTAACAGAATGAGAGAATGAAGTCTGAAACTTATGCAAAAGAAGGAAAGAAAAAAACAAGAGTAGTGAGAACGAGAAGAGGGGACAAAAACATGTTGAGACAAGATTTGAAGATGAAAACAAAAATAAGGTTGTCTTACTCTTAGAGAAAAATAATGATAAATGTATTGACTATTTTAGGGGTAAAATGTCTTGTCATACAATTTGAAGAGATTGTTTTATATTCTATGCAATTGAAATTAAAATCTATAAAGTATACTATTTTGAGGCTTTCTTGCAAGTTTAGATTTTGTATAATGGATTCACATGCACATATTTGAATGAATCTGTCACATAATAAAATAATGAATTGCTAATTAATGATGATTATGATGTTAATTATTTTTCTAATTAAAAATTATCAGTCAGTTTTCTCCTTCAAAAATAATATAATCATACTCGTTCATGTCAATTTAGCCAATTGTTTAGTGACACGTGGCATGAGAAGAAGAAAATGAGTCTGGAATTTATGACAGCTAAATAATAGTAGTAATACTAATAATTGTGATATATAGAAGGATTTATTTTCTGGTTTTCAGTATTTTTTTCACCACTAGGCACTAATTCCAAATATATAAACTTCATATGCAAGGACAAATTAACGTCGGCAATTTAATTACTCACGCCACAGCATTTTCCTAATTTTGTTTTATGTCACATTTTACTACCGTAAATCAAATTCAAACATTAAATTATGCTCATAACATAGACCATGCACCTTCCTACTTCCCTACCACGCCACTTGCTAAATTTAGAGAAATAAATAAATTGTGTTACTAATTTCTTTATTTTTCATTAGATTTACTAATTTCATCAATGTTACATTTTTTGCACTCTATGTAGGTGATTATTGGACAACGAAGTGTGAGGGAAATGACAAAAAAAAAGAAATATTGAAGGGATAATAAACATAACCCTACAAGTAGAAGAAAGCATTGATTTTGTCGGTCACATATGACAATGCTTCGACCCTAGCTTTCAGGTACACCCCTGCCAGGACCCTTGAAAGGAAAGGGGTTTACTCATGTTCACATTTAGAATACTACCTATATAAAGATGTCGATATGATGGAAAATGTCCAGAGGGTATTTTCCTATTCTTTATTCTATCCTCAAATTTTTCTCTCTTCTCAGTATCTGATTAGAATATTTTTTTCTTATCTTAAAAAAATTATTATTATATTTTTCGATTAAAATTATGACATTAATGACTTTTCATTATATTTAAAATTTTAAAAAAATTAATAATTTAAAATTAAGTTTTTTTTAATAAATTGAGTTTTTAGTATGAATGTAGTATTATTATCTAGATAAGTTAAATAAAATTGGTATTCACCGATATATTAAAATTATTTTACACTATTAACTAATTAATTCTGTATATTCCGCTACTTTAAACTTTAAATTTTAAATTAATTGTGTGATATGACAGATTAATTTATTAAAATGTAAAATTAAGTACATATCACATTTATTTTATTTAATGCGAGAATTCGTTGAATTATTTTCATATTGTTCTTGTAGTAAAAGAGTGGAACTACTAATAGTTAAAAACCGTTATATGGGGATGTGGCAATTTTAAGAATCAGAAACTTTTAGGCTGTGCAAAGCCAAGAGCTAGTGACAGTGGTGTGATTTGTACGTACAACAGCCAGTGTCCCAAATAGGAATGGACAAGTCTTATTTTATTTTTCCGTAAAATAGAAATGAGAAAATGTATATTGTAAATGCAAAATTAAAAATATCAATGATAAAAAGGTAATTGTACTATTTGGTATTGAGTAACCAAGAGGTATACAAGTCAAGTCACAGCTGGCTTATTCTCAAATCTATGTGGCGAAAGTATCTAGTCAAGTAAACAAAGATACACGTATTAGGTTATACTTCGTCTGTTTAATCCAGCATTGACAATTATTTTTATCATTGGAGATAGATGGTGTTCACGACAATGAAGTGAGGAAGATCGAATGTGACTTTGTGATCTAATGAAACTCTCCTGTCATGAAAGACAACAACGAGAATTAGAATAAAATAAGAAAATTATTGTGGTGGGAGTGAAGCGGAGGAGATGAGAAGAAATATATGGATCAAATTGATGGAGACACCAATGTAATGGAGACAAGAAGATACAATTTGTATCTTTTTTTCTCTCGTGGTTATTCCACAAATGTGTATTTGCAATTAGGGGGTGTAAGCAGATTAGACAAAATCGAACAAACCAAAATATTCAAACAAAACCAAATTGAAAAAAACCGATATATTCTAGTTTGATTCAAAAGCTAGACTAAACCAATAAAAGCTAAAAAAATTATGTTCGCTTATCGATTTTCATTTTTAAAAATCACAAATCAAATGAAACAAATTAATGTGTATAATCATCTAACGTTTTAGAGCCTATGAATAATTGGTTCAACACAACACAACACGCGTGTGTTGCTTCACTTCACATCTCCTCTTCATAAATTATAACAAATCCTATGTTAAGATTCGTTGCCCACCACAAATCAGATTCGTTGTCCACTATAAATCATAAGTTTCAGCGCTCACCGTAGTTAGAGAAATAATCCCTTATGTCTTGGATCACGTCATGACATAATTAAATTGTAATTAGCAGTCATTAATAGCTCAACATTATTAGTTTCCATATTAGTGTTAAGACAGCATGGCTAGCATGATTCTTGTATCTTGATTTGCAATGTTCACTTGTATATATGTATATGTTTCTGATCTGTGTAAAAAAAAATCAATATACACATTACAAGTTCTCTAACTTAGCATCAGAGCATCATTGCCTTGAAGGCACTCGATCCATTTTATCCAATCATGGCATCTGATGCAAATTCAAACACCAAAAATGACATTCCATCAACCTTTTCTATCAAGTTGGACAAAGATGATTATCCCCTATGGCGATCATTAATGTTGTCTATAATCAGAGGTTGCAAACTAGATGGATGCATGTTAGGGACAAAGTTGTATCCTGCTGAGTTCATCACAAATGCATATGTTAATGTAGTTACAAGCAAGAAACTGAATCATGCTTATGAAGATTGGCAGGCATGCGATCAATAACTCCTTGGTTGGTGAAGAAGTCTATGACTTAAGACCTTGCAACATAACTTCTACACTATGAAAACTCGAAGGAACTTTGGGAAGAGGCCCAAAGCCCAGCCAATGCATAGACAAGGTCTCGAGTTATCTACTTGAAGTCATAATTTCATAGTTAAGGAAAGGAGAAATGAAAATACAAGACTATCTCATCAAGATGAATAACCTCTATGAAAAACTGGAACTTGCAGGTAATCTAATTTCTTACTCATATCTTATTATTCAAACTTAAAATAGTTTGGACTCAGAGTAAAATCTTGTAGTTGTTAAACTTTCTGACCAAACACTATGAGTTGGATTGATCTGCAATCATAATTGCTAAGTTTTGAAAGCAGAATTGAGCAGCTAAATAGTCTCAACAATTTAAGCATCAATACCTCAACAAACTTAACCAACAAAGTTGATCATCAAGGAAATTGGAGAGGCAACAAGTTTGGCTCCAATGGTAATAGGAGAGGCTCCAACTTTAGAGGTTCGTGAAGTGGTAGAGGACGTGGCAAAAATTTAAAACCGACATGTCACGTTTGTTCCAAAATTAGAAACACAGCAGTGCAGTGTTTTTATAGGTTTGACAAAGCCTATCAAGGATCAAACCAATCAGCAGATAGTAACAAAAAGGGTCACAAAATGAATTCCTAGCATCACAAAACTTTGTGCAAGACTATAACTGATATTTTGACAGTGGAGCAAGCAACCATGTGAAACATCATACTAACAAATTTCAAGATCTGACTGAGCATCATGGTAAGAATTCCTTAGTTGTTAGAAATGGTGAGAAATTAAAAATTTTGGCCACAGGTTCCTCAAAACATAAATCACTCAATTTCCATTATGTGCTTAACATTACTAAAAATCTTTTAAGTGTGTCTAAACTAGCTACTGACAATAACATTCTTGTTGAGTTTGATGCCAATTATTGCTTTGTGAAGGACAAGCTGATAGGGAAGATAATACTAAGAGGGACACTTAAGGAAGGTTCGTATCATCTCTCTGGGATTGAAAAAGATTCAAGCACTTATGAATCTGTCAAAGAGAGATGGCATAGAAGACTTGGTCACCCAAAAAATAAAGTCCTAGATAATGTCTTAAAAAGCTGTAATGTGAAACTATCACCTAGAGATCATTTTAGCTTTTATGAGGCCTGACAATATGGAAAAATGCATATGTTACCATTTAAATATTCCTCTTCTCGTGCTCAGGAACCCCTTGAGTTGGTTGACACTGATGTGTAGGACCCTGCACCAATAATATCACCATCTGGTTTCAAATATTATGTTCACTTTATTAATGACTTGAGTAGATTTACATGGATTTATCCTTTGATACAAAAATCTGATATTGCACATGCTTTCATTCAGTTTTAAAACTTGGTTTAAAATCAATTCAATAAAAGGATCAAAATAATTCAATGTGATGGTGGTGGTGAATATAAACCAGTGAAAAATTTTTCCATAGAAATAGGCATACGATTTAGAATGTCATGTCCCTATACCTTACAAAAAAATGGCAAAGCTGGGCGAAAGCATAGATACATTGCAGAATTTGGACTAACCTTACTTGCTCAAGCTCAAATTCCTTTATATTATTGGTTGGAAGCCTTCTCTATTGCAGTATATCTTATAAACATGTTACCCTCATTACTCACTCAAAATGAGAGTCCATATTCTCTCATGCATCACAAGGAACCAGATTACACATTATTTAAGCATTTTGGTTGTGCTTGTTATCCTTGCCTCAAACCATACAATCAACACAAGTTACAGTTTCATACAATTAAATGTGTATTTCTTGGCTATAGTAACTCACACAAAGGCTACAAATGCATCAATTCTCATGGAAAAG